TTACAAGTGAATGATGATGCAATGGGGGGAAAAGTTTTTTTTTTTTTTTTTTTTTGATAACCGGGTAATCCTAGGTCCAAAGGGCCCAGACTAATCCCGACCCACACGCACAACCGGCACCACACGTGTGGGATGTGAAACACCCGAAGGTGGCCGGAGGGGAAATCTCCATACCCTGAGTGTTGAACCCACGACCTCTTGTTCAGGAAGTGAGCTCTCAAACCAACAGAGTTGGGGGAGATCCCCAATGGCGGGAAAAGTTCTCCTAACCAACCAGAATATCTACGTGTAAATTCTATTTGTATACAGTATACACACACATATATATATATATATTCATTCGGTGTATATATACACATACCTATGGACAAGAGATTTACCTATTAGATTATTCTACTTAAAAATATAATAATTAATTAAATTATACAAGCATAATTTTATTCAAATGGGTATAGTTTCGTATCATTATTTATATATAAATTTGTTTAATGAAATGTCAATATGTTACATAAAAAATAAAATATTTTAGTAGAATTTCATTCAAAATTGTTGATTTAAGTTTTTTTTTGTTCAAAGTTTAGTATTATTTTGTTCAAATTGACCAGAATTTGAGATGATTTTCTTTTCTACAAAAAAACTATATATACAATACACAATTATCTCAAAAGGCAAGATTAATCATTATGTGAATTTGTCAAGATCATTTTTTGGGCATGATTTGTTTACTGGTAATATATATATCTATATATCGATATATTATTAAAATAATTATATGAAAAACGATAATTGAAAAATTATTTAGTTAAATTTATTTTTTTACCAGTGTGAAAAAATATGTATAGTTACATAAATAAAGTTTTGAAGGAGGAGGAAAATAATAAATAAAAGAGAGTCGGCCAAACATACCAACAAGCTTGAGAATAAAACCCGTTGGTCAAAGCTGTACGTATATATATATATATATATATATATATATATTAATTTAATTAAGATTATAAAGTTAATAAATTGAACATAAAATTTAGACTAAATTATTTTTACAACCAAAATTCTGATTTCCTTGGTTAAAAAAAAGATGGAAAACCAATAGAATCCGTGTCAACTTGGAATCACAGCATCAGTTCATCCAGTTGTAAACCGTTTTCATCGTCCGTACTGGTAAGGCCATTTAAACTCATTATAGTATTTATTTGAATTAATTAATTAGTTCAAATCCGATGACTGCATTATATTTAATTAGCATAAAAATATATTCTTTAATAGTTTCGTGTTCTTTTTGTGAAGCGGTCGTTTAATTTATCTCTCATCAAATTTCATAGATACAAGATATTAAATTTTAGTACTAATGATTTAATTTTTTGTTCCCAAATTTATACTTCTTTGTATGTTTATTAAATATACTAATTGGATATATATAATTACATTCCATTTAATTGGATTTTGCATTGCTTAGGGTTTTAGTGGTATTGCTTTATAGACAGACAAGAAGCATCCACCTTTCCTAAAGCATTGGTCATCCTTTGAGCCTTCTTCATCTCCCATTTCAAACAATCCGTATTTAATATATTATCTTTTTTTTTATTAAAATAATTTTGTCTTTAAATCAATGAATGTACTAATTTAAAGTAATATAAAGATTAATTGTTCACCCTAAATTCAACTCAAGTATGTACTATCCTATCTTTACGTAGTGATAGAAGAGAATCTCAATAAAATATATAGGAATTGCTCTCTATAATCATTATTATATTTATACAGATAAATAATTCGATATAAAACTTCAACTAAAATAATTGATAATTTATGTTACAATTAGAGCCATATATATGATACACCCAAGAATAATCCAATAAGGATAATCTACAGTTAATAGTACAAGAAGTATAAGATTATTATTGACGTTTTCTTATTTCCGTATTTTCCTATGCTTTAAATAGCTAAAATTAACTTTCTCTAAAAATCTAAGAATAACAAAATTAATGTATAAAACATCTAATATTTGAAAATTCTCTTCAGTTATTATATTATGTGTAGAGTTCTTTAAGACAATATATATATACAAGACTTGCAACTCTACAATTTGATAGGTTGCATAGGATCACTTCAAGAGACTCCCACGTTTAGATATTGTCGTTTCTTTAAATTTTTAAATTCTAATAATTTTATTTTGTTCTTCATAATTAATTTTGTTATAAATATATTTTTTCAAATATAAGTAAATAATAACAGTTTTTACCTCGATTAAGATTTCTGCCATTTTACTATCTTATTAAACTTTTCTATAATTTTAAACTAAATAAAAAATCCATTGTTTTAGAATATATATATATTTTCTTTCATTTATATTGTTTTAAAATATAGTTATTTATATCAAATTTTTATTTTGCATGGAATAAAATTAAATTTAGATATCTATAAAATTTAAAATTTAATTCCAATGACCTTTTATATTTGAAATTCGTAAAAATTAACTTTTATATAACTTGAAAATTGTTACAAAAATATTTGTGACGGTTCTAGTTATATATATATATGGGATAAAATTAATAACAGAAGTCGTGATTGGTGAGCCATACAAGAGACATGCAATGGCATCAAAATCATATTCCTTGGCTTTCATCTTAAGGCTTAAGCGACTGCTAATTTTCTTGTCACCTTTTTGTGTCCTCTTCTTTTGGGTAATGTTTGTCATTTTTGGTTAGCCACTAGATGGATTTAGAGTGTTGGGTCTCTTATTTCCTGACACATTTTATAGAAAGTTTTATTTTATATATATATATAAAAAAGAAATATTAAAAGAAAAAAAAATCCATAGATACTTTTTTCCCTGTCTTTGCATATATCCGAATTCACTTTTTCCCATAAATTTCTTCTTCTGGAATTATCTTTATTTCACAATAAATTAAATGTTACTTTGTACTACTAGTTTTTAAAGATTATAATGCAATGTTATTAATGTTAATTCAACCCCACGCCATTTAATACCTTCAAGTCCCCATGCATGTCTAGTAGCTTCAACCAATAGCTACTCCTGTCTTTGTTTATAAGCACTACGTCACTTCATTATTATTATTATTATTATTATTGTTATTGTTCTCCTACTCCTCCTTAAGAATCGATATTTCGATACGATTTTTTGGAATTAAACTGTATCAAATCGAAAAATACGTTATTTTTTTTTCGTTTCGAACTATCGAAATTCTCAAACATTATTATTTTTAAAAAATCGAATTTTTCAAAAGAACTAAAAAATACGGTATATTTTTTTTAAATATGAAAGAATCGAATCAAACTTTTCCCAAACTTAATCCGAAACAAATACTCACCCCTAGTAGTTGTCGTTTTCCATCAATTGCATACAGCTCTTTTAACTTATTTGAAAATAAAAATAAAATGGCTTAAAAAACGTGCCCTCCGAAACGTGCCACGATACACTCTACCGACTACCAGGGCATCGATACCACAATTTTTAATACATATATATATATATGTATGTATATATATATAATCAAAGAAATAGGTTTGTTACATCGAAAACTAATAACAATTGCGATCTAATAATTATATCATTAATTAATAATCACAGTTTCAAATACAATCTAATGGGTTCAGATCGATCAACATATAGTTAAGCTTGAAACTCGATCCTATATATATTGGATTCAGGTCGGACCAGACCAAACTTCTTTATAAATCATTTTTTTTAAATATCGGATTTTCGGGGTGGTCCGGTTCGAGTACGAAGTCCGATTCGAACCTGACCCGAAAGCCATATTTTTTTCGGGCCGAAAAATTTAGGTTTGGAGCCCGTTAATTTTTGGATTTGACGGAGTCAAACTTCGGGACTCGGATCCAAATTGACATCCCTATTTGAGCCACCCAATCTTAGATTTCTAAATGAAAATATAGAGTGATAAAAGAAAACGTACCGAGTATTTTCCAAACAAAGAAATATATATATTGTGTCAAAAGAATAGTTGCTTCTAGTTTTCCATATGAATATATTAGAAGATGATTAATCCAATTAAAAAATAAGGTTGAGATAACTAAAAAAAGGTAGGATGACGATGGAATAAACACACAAAAATCTAGAAACCAACCACTGTTACATATTAGACATTTGTAAAGATTACAATATATAAAGATGGAATACAATCTTAAAAAACTCTAATTTTTTCATATAAATAAAAGTTTAAACTGCATACAAATATAATTCTTCTGCTATCATATAAATTTTCTACGTTTTCTCTCATAAATATTTAATATATATCATACATAATTCTATTAAGGGATATCATAAAAAAAATTTCGTACTTTCTCCAAATCAACTAAAAAAAATCTTATATTTTTCTATTTATCAAATAAACTCTGAACTATTTCTATTTGATCAATAATTCAAAATATGATATTTATTTGGTAAACAAAGAAATATAAAAATTTTTCGTTGATTCGGGAAAAGTACGGAGTTTTTTTAGTGATATCCTCCTAAAATAAATTTATAGACTTGGAAGAGAACTTGATATGAAAAAAATAAAATATGATAGTTTATGGAAAATGACTATAATATCTAAATAATTATGTTTGGGGATACAAAATTTCTTCGAGCATATAAAACTAATTTTTGTTTTTCGTAATATATATGTTGAAACTTCTTTGCGTAAACAAAGACCATCCAAATCGAGTCTAGTAGAGATGGACCACCAAAATAAATCACAGAGTTGTATCCCTTTATCACATTTAAAATTCCAAATGTCACAACCATTACAAAAAAAAAAATTTAATGTTATTAAAAAAATAACGTATAGTCTTGTTCTAGACGACAATACAAATATGAAAGGAATAAAAAAAATATTAAACGCAAACTTTTCAAAATAGTTTCTTAATTATTCTCCCCCGTAAAATTTGTTTAATAATTAAATAAAAAAGAAAAAAAATACGGTGGCGTCGATATGGGACCCACACCCTTTAGCCCTCATTACTTATACCCATCAGACTTCGCTTCGCTCTTCTCCATTCACATCAAGCCTCACTGATTCCATAGAAGAACTTCACAATCATACAAATAACTGAAACAAAATCTGGGAAATTTCTCGGTTTGATTCGTTCTGTAAAGGAAGGGTTTTGAATTTTTTGTTCTGTTTTCGTCTTCAGCGAAGCAACCCCAGTGGTCTCTCTGTAGACCTCTGTTGGTTGCTCTCTCTCCGCTCACCCAATTTCCTCCTCCTCCTCTGTTTCCAGGTACCGTTTCTGCACCTTGTTTGATTTCTAAATAGAAATGGTTTTGTAGGGGAATTCCATTTTCCGCCGATGATTTCACATTTATGCGTTTGTTTAGGTACACGGGTCGATTGCTTATTGAGTTTGTGTTTCTGGGTTTTGCAGGAAATTGGGGTTTTTTTTTGTTCTTCACCTCGAAGCGATTTTTGTTCTTGATTGTTGTAGAGATGAGTGGTTGCGTGAACAAGAATCTCGGCTTGTCGTCTTCTTTGAAGGTGGAGGGAGACAAGCATGGCATAGTTTCGATTTTGGGGTCTGATTCAGACAACAGATCGGCACGCGCTTCTTCACTCCGAAGGACATTATCTGCGGATATGTCGTCCAAGAAGTGGCTTTCGCAAAAAGGGTTCTCATCTCCTTCGAAGAAGAATGCGTCAGAAGAAAGCAGAGGAGAAAGAGGAGGAGGAGGAGAGAGTGAAGAGAGGTCAGCGTTTGATATATGGACTTCGATTCAGGAAGAGAAGAAGAAGAGCGAGAAGGTGGAGGGTGAGAGAAGTGGACAAGTCGACATATGGGATTCGATCTTGTCCGAAAAGGTTCACGATATTTATACGGGAAAGGTGGTTCCTCCTCCGTACGAGCACCCTCTTGTGAGAAGATCTAAGAGCTCCTTGAGTGAGAGGAGCCTTGAGATCTGCACTGAGAGTTTGGGTTCAGAGACTGGATCAGAAGGGTTTTCATCATACCCTGCATCAGAGACAGGGGAGGAAGGTGAAGAAGAGAAAGAGGATGTTCTCAACTTTCAAGATTTGCAGAAGGAACCTGCTAAACAAGAGGAAAGAGCATGGAGGCAAGAGAAGCAGGTTATGGCTGGGAAGTTGAGTTACTTGGGGGACAAGAAATCGTCTCAGAGATCATTCCCTCCTCCAATCCCTTCTCTTGCTCGCCAAGATGGTGCTTCCACATACATGAGGACAAGCCGCAACAATGGCCGTTTGGTTCTTGAAGCCGTAGCAATCCCTTCCAAGAACAACTTCTATGCCCACCGCCAAGATGGCCGCCTTGTTCTCACTTTTACCAAACCAAACCAAAACGAGGACAAGACCGATGAGAGATGGGACGAGATGGAGCAAGAGAAAGAGCTTGAGGAAGAGGACAACGAGTTTGAGAGTTCTGAAGAAGAAGAAGAAGAAACACGAGAACATGAGGAGTTGGAGGAGGAAAAGGAGGAGAAGGCCTTTGCTATGGAGCAAGCACCAAACTTTTCGAGTACCCATGGCTTGATCAGTGTTCATAGGTTAGCCCTAATGGTGAAAAACCCGATAGGCATAACCAATCGAAACCCGACATGGTCAAGCAAATTCAGTCATATGGTGAAGCCAAAGGGTCAAAAAGAGGAGGGGGAACCAAGGCATAAATTCCAATTCCTACCACCAAGGCCACCAGCGGCCATGGCCGGAGCCACCATTAAGCCTTTCTTGAATGTGTACGAGTACAGTTGGAGGTCTAAGCCCATAAGAATGGGCTCTACTAACAAGAACACAGTATCAAAGACTGAGCAACAAGGGAATGGTGATGATGAGGTTGTGGTGGCCGATGGGTGCAAAGATCAAAAGAGGTCTCTCTTGTTTTGCGAGCCTTATTGCATTGCTACTTCTTAGAGACACCAACTACACTGCCCAATAAGTATTGGCAACAATAATTATAAAGCAATCTGTAATTGACATTGTGAAAAGGGAGAGCTTTTCATACGTAGAGGGAACCAACAGAAATCAGATGTATGTATAACCATTAACTGTGTTACTATACAATTTCCTCTAATAAATAACCTTTTGAACATCTCTCTTTTGTTGGGTTTTGAATGTGAATTTGGGGCATTGAAGATGGCAACTCATGAAATTAAATTAAAACGTGGTATTAGTAATTACCATACCATTAAAAAAGACCACCGAATTCGACGCATAATCCACATCAAAAACACTTCCTAAAACCAGGTTTGTCCAAACACAGATCTGCAAAATCTTAGTACTACTTGTAAGTTCCAATACCACCAAAAAAAAAGTTTTTTTTTTTTTAGTTCTAACCTAAGAAGCTAAGTCATAAACAGAAATGAAAGGCATCAAAACACTACCCATCCAAAGCTTACCATCTTTCTCTTCCACTTCACTCACTGCCTTCACCACTTTCCCTTGTTTATCCTCCAACACCTTCAACACCTTCCCATCTCCATCATACTTCACCACCATTGCGTGTGGGCGCCCGCCCACCTGGAGCAGATACTGGAACTTCAGCGTTATCGGGAGCTTCAGGAAGAACTTCCTCAGCCTCGGGTATAACCCCATGACATGGGTCAGTATGTTCCGGTGGCAGTGGATTGCTACCCAGAAGTCTCCATCCTTGTTTGTGCGGATGTTGTCAGGGAATCCATGTAATATGGCTACTACTTCACTTGTCCCGGCTTTTTCGCCTTTCAACCAGTACTTCCTCAATCTGCACTTACGATTAAATGCGTAAAAAAAACGAGCTTTTAAAAGAAATAGAAGCCTTTTGTCACTGAAACAGTTTATTTTTTCTACTGGAACGGTGGGTAGGGGGTGATGAAATTTTAAGATTCAAAGACGGCTAATTTGTAGAAGTTTATGAAATATCATAAATAGCCACAAGGAAGAAGAATACTTCCATTAACAGCACAGATTCTCCCTTGATAGCTTAAATGACTAAAGTTGATTGCACCATCAAAACCTATGCTGGAAAATGTGATGGGGGATATCTCGGAAGTCTCACAAAACTCTTCAGTCATGACAAAGTTCAAGGAAGAAGGAAAAAGACTTACCTTCCAATAGATCCTTCACAGAATATGAAAAAGGAGCCATCTTTGCTGAGAGTTACCCCATTGGGAAATTGGAGATTCCTAACAAGAGTGGTGGTTTCCTTTGTTTTTGGATTGTATTTCAAGATCCTCCCACTGTTCTCCCCGGCAAGAATTAATTGCATGAAGTTCCTGAAATAAGCCAAAATTCTTCAGGAAACTCAAGAATTGCACAATCATTGTACTCAGAAAACAAAATTAATTGCCAAATTCCTGAGAAACAAATTGCTAAAATTTATAACATGGGAGATGAGTTCATGGAAACATCAAGAGAACATAAATCAACATCAAACTCAAAGCCATCTAATTTTGAAATTATGTTTCTCAGGCCCATAATATAGTAAAATTACCAGAAGACTAATTCAAAGCAGTAATTACAAGATCCAAAAGATTATCACTTAGTAGATGCCTACAGTTTTCCTCTTCAAGCAGGAGTATGGACTGATGATATTAATCACGTTAGACAGGCAGCAAAACACGATAAAACTCAGCAAGATAGTGAAAAAATATAGTTTCAGGGACATACAAAGACACGAGAGATAAACAACCCGTAAATATCCTATACAATTACAATTAACCGAGTGAATAAAGAAAAATCTTATGAATTACATTTAAATGTTGTTGTTTTTAACCAGCTTCATCTCATCTTAAAACCCAAGTTTCAGCTTCCCCGATTTTTTTCTTTCAGTAAATAAACGGGAAAGAAAGCAGGCATTTGAGGGGAAAAAATTGTAGAAACCATACCTCCGCTGGTAGAAAGAGCTGCTGTCCGAAAAGTAAACATTTCCTTCATCGTCTATGTCAAGATCATTGGTGAACCTCAATGGCACACCATCGGCCTCAGTTGTAAGGGAAGTTGCAACACCACCTTCAGGCCCCACTTTCATCAGCCCGAAATAAGCATCGGCAATGTACAAATCCCCTGTTTTCTTATCAAACCGAAGACCCAAAGGCCGACCACAGATGTGCTCGTTCTTCAAGTAAGCAAAAGGTGATGGCTTTGGATCGCATAGTTCTGACCTGAGATACGAAAATCCAGCGTGAGAGAGACGAACAATAGACAGTCCTCATGACACACCATCAAAGAATCATTATAGAGATTCCATACTGATGTAATATGATAAATTGATTCAGCCCAAATTGGTTTCTGTCAAGGACTCCCAAATCGAAACCAAGTGATAACGCTGACATATACAAAAAAAACTCTGTCCAGTTTCCAGTTAAGCACCGAATCATATTATCATAAGTAAGCAAGAACTCTACAAGGAACTGTCAACCAGGTCATTAGATTCATGTCTCAAAAGCATGACCCCACAATTGAAGTTTCCCTCGCTTCACCACAAAATTTCCGTGAATCTGGATTTAATTTGCATGTCACTATTGCACGTGGTTCCTAGAAATGAATATAGTTTCAATCATTCGCTTCTCCAGATAACCCACAACTCGGTGCCACTAAAATTGAAAATCTCGTCCCTAAACAGACTCACCGATTGCTCGACGTATACGCGAAATCCGTCCACCGGCTACCATCCCAGAACCGAACACGGCCGTCGGCGACGCCGGTGTACGGACCCCGGCCGAGCGGATCAAAGGCGATGCTCTCCGGCCCCTGAACCTCGTTCAAAAACCTGATCTCCGATCTCTGAAGCAGATTCTCTGGGTCTCTCTCCTTGGGATGCGCCGATAATGGCGGCATCTGAATCTTGTAGGTCTCGAACTCCGGAAACTGGGAGATGGGGCTGTGATTGAAGGGATCGACGCCACAGTAGATTGCTAGAACGAGGAAGATCGCCGCGGCGATCCTCGTCACCGTCGTCGTCATTATTCTTCTGCGGATTTTTCTTAACTTGGCTTGGATTTTGGGGGTGAAAAAACGTCAAGAACTCTTTTAAAAGAATTATTTTCCTTAAAAAGTTAAAAAGTACGCTTTATATTATATTTATATAATACAATTGTTTTGTGTGTGTTTTAGAAAATATAAAATGTGCAAATTCATAAATATCTAAAATCAATTGATTTTTTATGTGGTTATATAGTAAAAAATTTAAAATTGGTATATTTTATATAAATTTATGTGATTATATGAAAGTTTTCAAAATTTATGTATTTTTAGACAAAATTAAAAATTGATTTATTTCTTGACCAAATTTTAAAAAAATCATATTTATATATCAATGCACTGATTGGAGTCCTAAATAAAGATGGATTTAGTTAAAGGATGAGATAAAACAATGGATAAAGATAAATATGGAAATTTTATCTGTTCCAGTTTATAACAGAGGGATTTATTAGAATATATGATCGGTAATGTAATTTGGTTTTATTTAGATTGGTTATTTTTTAGATAAAATAAGAAAAAGAAAATACGTATATAGTAACTAATCTAACGATAACGAATCTTTATAAATAAAAAACTAATCTAACGATAAGATGGGAAATTTTAATTTTATGTAATGTAAAAAAGAAAACGTTCATGCTCTCCGAGTTGATAAAATAAAAATTAATTTGATTTTATTCACTTATTAAAAAAAAAAAGATAATAGCATTTTTGTATTGCTATTATGTTAGTAACGGAAATCAGTATGCCAATTATTTTTTACATATTTTAGTACTAAAATTTATATTTTCTGCTTGTTTTATTATCCTGATATATTTTTTTCGTGTGACCTAATATAGTCCAATCAAATATCGTAAGCAAATCAACCACCGACAAGAACGTGCGGCTGTTGAAGTCATACTGTAACAGAAATTTTATAAAAATATTTTTATTGAACTGCAATATTTATTTGTCAGTTATCCAAACAAATATTGAGATGCTAAAATACGGTGCTAAAATGCACAAATAAAAAAATGAAATAGGTGATGCCGACGAATAACCATTTGAATTATTAAAATATCTCAAATTTATTATTATTATTCTTATTAGGTTAAAAAAACATTAACTTTTAAAAATTTTCATATAAATATATAAATTTGGAAATTTATATAAAATATAGAAAATTTACAAATATTTCTATGAATTCTAGATATGAGATATTTACAAATTTTATTTAGGTTTATCACAATATTTACAAATTATATACGTTTTGTAAAACTTTTAACATTTATGTATTTATATAATAACAATTTTTGAAAAATTATTTATTTTAAACTTGGAGAGCAAGAAACATGGAAAAGAGTAACGACGAGAAGATATACCCAATACGACATTATACAAAATCAATTTACGGGTACATATAGTCATTTTACAACAACAAAGGGCTCGATTACCCGGTTCATAAACCCGGTTTTCCCAAACCGATGAACCAAACCGGAAAATACAATCACTGTTGCGCACACTGAACTCTCTGTGCACCACCATGACCAGAATCATCACCATCTTCCTCATACGCCTCACCCCGTTGAGGCTGCTGATGCTTTCTCCGCATCTCTTCCTCAATGTTTACGTCATGGAGCGTCGTCTCTTCGCACTCGTCGAGCTCCATGTCGGTGAATTGGCTCGACGTTCTCGGTGGCGGCAATATTGCTTCAAGGGCCTTAACCTGGTCTGAGCTCAGAGAATCCGGAAACTCGACCATGAAATGAATGTAGAGTTTACCCTTCATGAAGGGTCTCTGGTGAACCGGCATTCCAGTTTGAGAGTTCTGAAGAAGAAGAAGAAGAAACACGAGAACATGAGGAGTTGGAGGAGGAAAAGGAGGAGAAGGCCTTTGCTATGGAGCAAGCACCAAACTTTTCGAGTACCCATGGCTTGATCAGTGTTCATAGGTTAGCCCTAATGGTGAAAAACCCGATAGGCATAACCAATCGAAACCCGACATATGGCAATCGTCTCCAAGATACAACGAGGCATTCCTTCGTCGTCTATCGCCTTGAACGAATCTGAACGGAAGAGAAATCGGTGAGAGGATGATGACATTTCGAGTGATCAGTTAGAACAGAGTGTTGTTTCACACAACTTGATTCTGATCCAAACTGTCTGCTCAATGCATATTCACTGTCAATACTTTGCGGTACTCATGGATTGGATACCCGAAAATTCTCGGTTATCCATTACCGAACGATCTTAAAATTGTCCTTGAAAGACCGGAACCAAAGATGTGTGTTCAAGTTAAACCGGTCATTGCTCATCATCTCTAGATTTGAGTTAACAAAAACATATTTTAACAAGAAGGGTAAATTACCAGGTTTCACAACTTCGCCGGGATTCGATTTGATGAGAAGTTGTCGGCCGTCGAGATGAGTCAGCACGAACTGGAAGCCGCATAAGGCTTCCGTGAGAGAGAGTGTGTGCTCGTAGAAGAGGTTTTCGCCCTTTCTCTTGAACTTCGGATGCTCTTTCTGCTGAATCACGAACACTACGTCTCCTGTGACTGTGTCAGGCTGCAAAAAATGAATCAGAAATTGTATAAGTATCAGTTTAAAGATTCGATACCGAGCTTCTTCTGGTTCGCCGGATTAGGGTTTGGTGCGAAGAGGGTGTACTTACAGCTTCGTCAGCAGCGCCTGGGAAGGTAATCTTCTGACCATTCTGCATACCCTTTTCGACGAAAACTTCGAGAACTTTCTTTTCCGGAACAACTTTCTCTCCCTTGCACTGCAAGCATCGATCTTTCTCGTCGATAGTTTCGCCCGTACCTTTACATTCATTACAAACATGCTGCATCTGCTGGATCATAGACGGGCCGAGATGCCTTACTGTCACCTTCATACCGATGCCCTGACAGCCCGAGCACTTCATCGACGCACCAGATTTCGATCCTTTTCTGCAATTTAAGCAGACAAAAAGTCACGTTAACTCCATCTTTGAACGGGTTTGATCTTGTAACTGGGGACAAATTAACGCCATTGAACGGGGTCGTACCCGTTACATTTCGAGCATATGACATTCCGGGAAAGGGAGAGTTTCTTGGTAGTTCCGAGGTAAAGATCCTCCAGAGACACCTTCAGTGGATGAACCACATCCTCTCCCCGCCTCTCCCTCCGTCCTCTGCTGCTACCACCACCTGACCAAACCAATCGAAACGATCAAAAACCCGAGTTTCCTTAACTGACAAGAAACATATGACACGAAATAAAACCCGAGATTTCTTAACTGACAAGAAACTTATGACACGATCAAATGCCCGAGATTGCTTAACTGACAAGAAATATACGACGCAAATAGGAAGGGCTTGAATCAACTCACCACCGAAGAAGGACGAGAAAATGTCGAAGGGATCGATGGTTGGGCCGCTTCCACCCATTCCTTCCTTGAGAGCTTCCTCTCCATATTGATCGTATATTTCCCGCTTCTCGGGGTCGCTTAGAACCTCATAAGCTTGCGCTATCTCTTTGAACTGCAGAAACAGTCACATAATCTCAGATTCAGACAACTGGAAGCACCATTTGGTAACTTGTTGAATTCTCTCCCAAACACTAAATTTATAACCATTTTGAACTCGGATCTTTTCTCTCGCATATATATATATATATATGATTCAGATGCTATATCTATGTACAGGATATGATCCAGAGAAAAACAATGTCATCCAAGCGCATCAGCAGAAGACAAAGAGGACGGTTTCTGATCATGTTTGATTAAGACAAAATCAGAAACAACAAAGAAGAAATGAACAAAAGCCCGGAGAATCTCTAAACAAGAACCGGTCGATCTTATTCGGATCTCAATAGATCAAGACCCATGAACTGAAACAAGAAGGGACCAGTTGAAGAACAGAGAGCGGAGGAACCTTCTCGGGGTCGCCGCCTTTGTCGGGGTGATTCTTGATGGCGGCTTTCTTGTAAGCCTTCTTGAGATCCTCCTGAGTCGCGTCCTTCGTGACTCCGAGGATCTCGTAGAACCTGCTGTTGTCGCTCTTCTTCTGCTGACCTCCTCTCCCAAACATTTCTTCAAACAATGTCTTCCGTTTGGGTGTTTCGAAATCTAGGTTATATATACAGAGAAAGAGAGGAGGGAGAGGGAATAATCTGGTTGGTTCCAGAATGCGTGGAACTTTTCACATTCAGGAAGATTCTAGAGATCTATGTTTTTTTTTGTCAGAAGGGTATAAGGGTAATTTCAATCGAGTGCCCTCGGTTCAATTATAATGATTTTTTTTATAAAGGTTGCGTATATTGATTTGATTAGAAACTGTACAAATGTGATGATAATGGTTATGGTTATGCAAATGTGTTTTTTTTTATATAAAATTTGTATTGTTAATTTGCCTAGTAGCATAAGAGAGATCAACTTTCCGGTTTTACAATGTCGGTCCAACCATCAACAACCATACTGAAATTTCAAAAATTCGTTTTGTTGAATCCGCAGATGTGGGATTCAGAAATTCAGACAGAATATCCAAAAGAAAAGAAAATTTTTGAAGTGGGTTAAGTCGAGGCTTGTGTTAGACACAATCTCCTCAAGACGAAATTGCCCCGTTATCAAGTGGTTACGGTTTATGGCAATCGTCTCCAAGATACAACGACTTACGATTCTACAAAAGCACCACCTGCTTTAGAGAATCCAACGAACTACAAAAGTTCAGAACTCTTTAGAGAAAAGGTTTGAGAGTATTTCTTTCTAAAAGAAGAATGCACTCAGAAAAAATGGGATGCAGAAAATGATCCTATGGGCGCCCTATTTATAATATTCGGGGGTTGCTACGAAAACATGTGAAGGAAGAGGTTCCACCCTTTCAACCAGCGGTT